GAAATGAACGGTCGATTTTGCAACGTTGTTTCTACGGGATTCTAAGGTTTCAGACTGTTCTAAACTACTTGTATTTGACGTTCTAAGGACGAATATGATTTTAGTTTTCATAAATTACAAAGTTCCATTTATTAACGTTTCACGAGAAGAACGGTCGAATTTGTATCTTGGTCCCTATGGGTTTCTAAGGTTTCGGACTAGTCTGAATATCTTTTATTTCAAGTTCTGCAGACGACGATGATCTTAATTTTCATGAATTACAAATTTTAATTTCTGGACGTTTTACGAAGTAAACGGTCGAATTTGCAACGTTGTTTTTATAAGATTCTAAGGTTCCGGAGTGTTCCAAATAACTTGTATTTGACGTTCTAAAAGCGAATATGATCTTAATTTTCATAAATTACAAAGTTTAATATTAGGACGTTTTACGAGGAGAACGGTTGATTTTGTAACTTTGTCCCTATGGGTTACTAAGGTACTGGACTACAAAGGTACTGGAAACTCATAGGTACAAAGTTACAAAATCGACCGTTCTCCTCTTGAAAAGTTATTAAATGGAACATTGTACTGTATGAAAATTAAGATCATATTCGTTTTTACGACGTCAAATACAAGTTATCTAGACTCTATTCTGGTTCCTTAGCAACCCATAGGAACAAGTTACAAAATCGACGGTCTTCGTCCAGAAACGTTCAAAAAAAAAAATGTAATTTATGATATTTAAGATCATATTCGTCTTTACAACGTCAGATACAAGTTATCTAGAATAGTCCAATACCTAAGAATCCCATAGGGACAATGTTACAAAATCGAGCGTTCACCTCATAAAACGTGCAAAAACAATCTTTGTAATTTATAAAAATTAAGATCATATTCTTCTTTAGGACGTCAAATACAAGTTATCTAGACTAGTCCGGAACCTTAGAACCTAATAAGATCAAAGTTACAAAATCAACTGTTCTTAAATTGAAACGTTTAAAAATAAAACTTTGTAATTCATAAAAATTGAGGTCATAGTCGTCTTCAGAACTTTAAATAAAAGTTATACAGACTAGTCCGAATCCTTAGAAGCCTATAGGGACCAAGTTACAAAATAGACGTTAATAAACGGAACTTTGTAATTTATGAAAATTAAAATCATAAGCGTCCTTAGGACGTCAAATACAAGTTATTTAGAACAGTCTGGAACCTTGGAAACCCATAGAAACAACGTAGCAAAATCGACTGTTGACTTCGTAAAAAGTCCAAGAATTAAACTTTGTATTTCATGGAAATTAAGGTCAGAGTCGTCTTTACAACATCAAATACAAGTTATCTGGACTAGTCTGGTACCTTAGAAACCCATAGGCACAAAGTTACAAAATCGAGCGTTCACCTCGTCAAACGTCCAAAAATTAAACTTTGTAATTCATCAAAATTAAGGTCATAGTCGTCTTCACAACATCAAATACAAGTTATCTAGACTAGTCCGGTACCTTAGAAACCCATGGGGCTCTCTTAACTTGGCGGGGGGTAATTAATTTTTTATTAATTTTTTTGGCTAATTCAATTGTTTTTCAACTGTTCTTCAATGTTCGATCAAAAATTTTTTTTGTTCGTTTTTATTTTTTTTTTTTTTAATTTTCAAAAATTTAATCTCAAGTTAGCGCCAACTATAGATTTTTTCAATTTTTTTTTTTTTTTTTATTCTTTGAAACTACCTCTTATGTGTTCGTCCAAAAAAAATATCTGTTCGGCCTTAATTACCTTTTAATTTAATTATAAACTTTTTTTATCCCACGTTAATTAATTTTTACCGCGCATGCGCAGTAATCTTCGTCATAAGACTTGTCCATCGCACCACATGACTTGTGATTAAAACAAGCTTACATATAATTCAAATATGATTATTGATAGAAAAAATATTCTTTTATAACAAATACAGTGAAAATTATCCAATTTTATGACAGTTGGTTTATTACAAAAAATTAATATTTGGCGAAAACTTTCAATCTCCCGCTACACGACTTAAGATATCAGTTATAGTGCCATCTGACAATAACATAGTTAATTAATTACGGAAATACGCACTTTCTCGCGCGCGCGCGCGCGCGCGCGTGTGTGTGTGTGTGTGTGTGTGTGTGTGATTGAAAATTTCATTAATAATTAAGTTTTTATTTTTGAACCTTCATTTACAAAAATTTAAAGTAACTTGCAAGGATAAAGCAATTTTCAATTATTTCATTATATAATTATTTTGCTTAAATTACAAAGGGGCAAGAGGAAAGTAGTTGTGTAAGGGTGAATTAAAATTAACTCCTTTTAAAAGCAAATCTTTTGTTTATGATCTTGATATAATTTTTAGTGTATATATGTACATATGGTTATTAAATGAATTATCTGACTAAATAATTTGAGAATGAAAAAATTAAAAAATAAATAAAGTTGAAATTCAGCAAAGTTTCGGTCAGTGTTTGTAATAGTTAACCTTTCCCGAGTTCTAAAAAAAATAGCTATTTTAACTTAAAAATAAAATATTTGCTGTGAACTAACTTTTTCGTTTATTCACATGTCCACATATGGTAAAAGACCCAGTTGTTGACACTGGCATAGTTGTTTGACATTTGCAATTTTATTCTAATTAAAAAAATTAAATGTTCTCAAAAAACAAATTTTTTTTTAATTTATAATTCAAAGATTATATTTATTAATTTATTAGAGTTAATATATATATTTTTTTAATTAAAATAAAATTGCAAGTGTCAATGACTGGATTTTTTACCTTACAGACGAGAATGAATACAATTGTTAGTAAAATGAAAATTTTATTTTTGCAATGGTTTCATTTTTTTTTTTTTTTTACATGAGTTTCAGTACATTTACAAAAGTTCGCTGTTGTTAACTTTCAATAATTATACTTTAAAAATTATTTACGTTTGAAAATTATTCTAATATATTTGTATCAATGTACAATAGTATATAATGGATCCTTATTGGGATCGGTGTTGTCTTAAGTTTTATCAATATTTATTCAACTGAATATTAATTAAAAATATACAAATCAACTAATTTGTGGAAAATGGTATTTTAGAAATCTTGGAACTGTTTAAAGTTTAGTTTTCGCATTGAGGGAAGTTTTGAAGGTTGTAGTATTGCGGTGCGATTACACTGGGGTGTAATTACCATCTAATTGTTTTTAATTGTTAAATAGTGTCCTGTTCATTCAAAATATGCTACCTGTATGAACAAATTATATTTATATAATAATCCTCAGACGTAAAATTAGTGGATGTTTTTTTCAGTGAAAATCTGTCCATAATCCGACTTAACCGCTGTTGTACGTTGTCTTCACTTTTTAGCGATCAGTAATTAACATAACAATGATGGTAAGAATTTCATTGCTGTAGTTGTTATTACACTACGCGATCAGTATTTTAAAAAACCCCCAGATTTTTTTTTTTAATTTTGGTAAAAGCTATTTTCGAGGGCCGATAATGCATAATAACTTCCTGGAGCAGCGGTCACAGGAGCTGATAATTGTAGGGATATTTGTCGCCGATAACTTGACAACTTCCCGGAGCAGCGGTCACTGGAAAATATATCTCCTCTCTGTTATATTTTGTATTTTAAATTCCTTCGCTCTCAATTCGTATGATGACTACGTTTACAATTGTCTTTTTTATAAATTATCAGAATTTATATTTATCCGTATTTACAGATTTTCATAATTACATCAGATATCAACATTTATTGGTCTATATTTACAGATTTCCATATTTTAAGTTTACGAATATTGATGACTGTCTATTTTTTTATGTTTCTAAATTTATAATTGTCTTTTTTTCGACTTGTCTGAATTTATTCTTTTCTTTTTTTTTTAAATATCAGTCATTTTAGATGTTTATATTCTGATGCGTCTAATTTCACGGAAATCTTTTTTTTTTGATTTTATAATTTTACGCTTATCTTTTTTAAAATAATTCTAATTATTTTGATTACTACATTTTTTCATTGCTATTTTTTAACTAATCGATATTGCAAAGTATCCTCAATAAGACACATCATTTTTTTATTATTTCTGAAATCTTATTTTTCCATATTTTTCATTTATTGATTTCCTTACTCACAGATTTCCAAAATTTGATGTTTCCATTTTCTGTAAAATTTCCGACCGTAAAGAATCAATGAAACGCATTGTACTTATAATTTCTTTTTTTGTATTTATGTACATTTTTAATAATATACAACGTTTATTTATGTTATAACTACAATTTGTAACTTAGATGTTTTTGTTTGGTAATAGTTAAAATTTACTAAAAAGTGACTTAAACTTTTAAAAACGTCCGATAATTCATTAAGTAAAGTCATATATAAAATCTAACTTTATTTTTAAATATAAATTCAAACAATAAAATTATTTTTCAACTTATAAATAATAATTCTTAAATTCAATGTCCATATATTGCAATAAATATACAAACTCAGTGGAGAGTAATTTATCAATTGTCGATAAAGAAGAAAATTTTCCAATGTTATAAGTAAAAATAATAAACTACTAATTATCGTTGTAATTTATAAAAAAATGAATGCCAGTATGAATAATTAATTATAATTAATGGATAATTGTCAATAAATTGTTGACAATTATTTCTGTGAGGAATTTCTAGTGATTTATTGATAGTGGTTTTTACATATGGATATTGATTACATTCATTTTTTTTTTTAATTTTATGATTTGATTATTTGTAAGCAGCACTATAAACAAATGACGATACGTGTAAGATTATAATCTTGTGTGAATAAAAAAAAAAAACAAAACATTTCTGTTTTATTGTTAATATATTATTTAAAAAATTATAATTTTCAAAAAAAATTATAATAATTCGATAAATTGGAAGGGGTATGAATTAGATAAAAAATTAAAGTGAGCTTTTACTGGAATGAAAAATTTTCAATTTTTGATTATCTAAATATTTATATTGTTTTCTTTCTTTTAGGTGCTTTTCATTTTCAAAAAAGACATGCCTCTCAAGTCGCAAGTGTCTGTTGAAGATGCTGTTAATGTGTTAATACGACACATTAGTTATTTTGCATCAGAAAAATTACCGGAATGGTCTTCAGATATATGGCAGGTTTTAGCCAAAGAAAAAGAATTTCAAGATAAATGGAACGCGAATAGCGTACGAACAAATGTTAGAAATGATCGACGAGGAATTTTGACCAAAGCACGCCAGGAATGTGGACTCTTCATTTCAAATCAAAATACAAATGTTGACAATGGTGACGACTGTGATGATGACGAAAATAGTTTAAGTGACGAAGATGATGATAAACGTGATCCGGATTATTTTAATCATGTATATTCTGATATGAAAGACAAAATGGAAACTTTTGAATTAATTTTTTCCAGACAATTATGGGATTCAATTAATAAACATACTCCTCTGATTGAAAATAAACAGACTGGAGCTGGATTTCAACCAAAAGTTTGGACGGATACGATCGCATTCGAGTTATGGAAACAGTATCGACTTCAATGTGCATTTATTTTTAAAAAAGGTTCCATTCACGAACATGGGCACTATTATGCCACAATGACTGGCCACTGTAAAAGCAAATTATGTCAAAACTTCCTGTTTGGCTATGTAGAAAATGATCCAGGAGATGAAGGTGATGTGATAATTAAAATTAATTGTTGTGACACAAGGTTCACAAAGCACGAGAATTATAGAAGACCACTTAGAGGACAAAAAAGAGACGAAATGAAGAAAGAAGTGAAAGAAAAAGGTGTTAAAGGAGCTGTACACGATGCTGCTCAAAAACTTCTTAAGCCAGGTGATACTCATTGTCCGGTTATGAGTAAACCCAACGTTTTATATCAACTAAAAAAGGAGACTATTGAAGATAATTTTGGTGTAGATCCAAAAGATCGACAAGATCTGATAAAGACACTACTGTCTATTGATCAAAGTCCTATATACCTTCATTCTATGAGGGTCGTAAGTACTAAGCCGTTTTATGTAGTTTATGCTACTCCGTCTCAAATACATTGCTACCGAGAATACCGTCGATTGCATCGAAACTGGTCATCAGTTTATATCGATGCAACTGGAGGAGCAGCAAAAAAGTTTGATTACAATAACAATCGTACAAGTGCGATATTTTTGTACGAAATTGTCATCAATTTTTCCGGTACTTCCGTATCCGTTTTTCAGGTGCTATCAGAGGTTCATGATGCTGATTATATTACCATATGGCTGAAAAAATGGTTACGAGAAGTTAAGCTACCCCCTCATGAAGTTGTAAGTGATGGTTCACGTGCACTTCTTAACGCAGTCTCTTTAGCATTCAATAATCGTTCATTGTCAGATTACAATGAATTATGTTTTAATAACATAAAAGGCACAACTACAATTCAGCCTAATACATACATTAGATTGGATACTGCTCATTTTATTCATGCAGTTAGTTTATGGAAATGCTGGAAATCTGTAACTCATAAAAATGTTAAATCATTTTATTTATATTGTATTGCTTTACTCATTGAATGTAATAAGTGGGAAGAGATGGAACGAATTTTAATATTAATGCTTATTATTTGTTGTACAGAATATGAGGATACAGTAATAAGTTATCGTGAAGAAGAAATTACACCACGAGACGCTCGAGTTGAGTTAGAAACTCTTATTGGCAACCGAAAAATTAAGGTAATGGTTGAGGATATAGAAGAAAAAATAAAATCAATGGATATCGATTCTGACAAGAAAGATTTATTAAATGATAATTTGTTTAGTGTAAGCGACGATAATCTTACCATAGCATCATGGGCAAGTCATCTTACATCATATCCTACTAATATTTTACTTACTGGTAACACGTTAAATTGTTTCTACGTTCCGCTTTTCAAGGATCCATTAATAAAAAATGTCAAGGAATTTCCTCTATGGACCAAAGTTTGTATTCCATCTAATAAGTTGCGACCTTCATCTTCTTACATAGAAGAAGATTTCAAAGACTTAAAAAAAGTCTTAGCAAAACAAATTACTCTTCCAGCAAGGATCGATATTTTTGTAAAAGCTCATATGAAATATTTACTGGGTGGTGTTATTATCCTACAAAACAAGTTCACTCAATTTGTAGATAATAACATTGATGATTGTACCATGTCAATCGAGGATTCAAATCTTCATGATGAAAAGTTTGAAGAAGACGTACAAAATGATGAAGAATTCCAAGACAGTTTACAAAATGAAAATTGGCGAGGATTAGGAAATGATCCAAAACACGCAAAGAACGACTGGGCAAACTACGATAATAATGATAATCAAAATGATTCTGATGAGAATTCAAAAGCCGATGGTACTGAGAGTGAAAAATTACATTCAGTTTTAGAAATTGATGAGGATGAAATTGAAATAAATGTAAGTGAATCAATAAAAAATGATCACGATTATACAGTCATAGCAAGTACTCCATTAAGTAACAGAATTGATAATAATAATAAATTAGATAATGCTATTGACAAAGTTAGTAGGAAAATTAAAAAAGAAGGTAAATATTTTCAAGATTGCCCGGAGATAAAATTAATAAACGATTTGATTAAATTAAAAAAGAATAAAGAAAATATTCCAACCATACAGAAAAAAGGAAAACACAAAGAAACTTATTTATTGATAAATGGAAATAAAAGTGGACCAGTTCTCTACCAGGGGATACACTATATTGCTTATAATACTTGTCCTTTGGACAGTATTATACAAATACTTTATAATGGAGCACTCGAGAATCAAAGTTTTACAGATTATTTAAGTAGCTCCAAAAATCCAGCTTTTATACTTACCATGAACTTATTGAAAAAAGGCGTTAATAATAATCCAAAAATTTATGAGAAGCGCTTTTCCATTCTTCATCAATTTTATAAAGCATTAGAACCATCGCAAAAAGAACAAGGGGCTGAAGAAAAAAATAATAAAACAACTACAGTATCTCGAGTAATCGATTGTGAAGATAACGTAACCAGCTTGTGGAATAAATTGTTTAAAGATGACCCTAGTTTAATTGAAATTTTTACTTGTGTATCACAGAACTGTAGTTATCAGTTGAAGAAGCCAACATTAGGTGTTAATTATCAAACTCTGCTGAATAATGGGATCAAGGATTTGCAAAATGCTTTAATTTTTCACGGTACTTTTAAAAGGTTTTGTCCAGTTTGTAGTAACGAACAAACTTGTGAACAAAAACCTAACGTGTATATTTATATTGAATTAGATGTCAGAATGCGTAACGAAGTTCAAGGTTTATCATGCAAATTAAGAGATATTCCAATAATTTTAAATATTCAAGAGAATTCAATAAAAACCTTACGCTATCGGTTTGTATAATTTTAATACTTTATTTTTAATATTGAAAAATATTCATGCTAATAACAATTTTAATTTCTAGTTTATGTGGAGCTATTGGATATAATGCACGTCATTATATCGCTTATTGTCGAAGATTGTCTGGAAGATGGCGGTTCTACAACGACTTATTATCAGCATCAGAAGCAATTGGCAATCATACTTCAATCGTGCCCCATGGAGTATTTTATTTATTAGATAAGTCATAAAATGACTAGGTAATTTTATTAGAAGTGTCTATTTACACACAAAGAAAGTCCTGATGAATCCATGCCGCATGTATGTAGGGGTCTTGACATTCACACAGCGTGGATTTAAGGCCCATATATTCATGTGGCGTGGATTTATCAGGGCTTTTTTGAGTGTGAATAGACATGTAAAATTTTATAACTTTATATTTTATTATTATAAAGAGACAAATATTTTCATTTCGCCTATTGTCGTCGAATGCTGTAACATTTCTCGATTTTATTTACTTTTTTAAATTTTATTATGTTTTAATTTTGGTTCTGTGGCATATGTATTTGTTTGTGTTGAGTTTATAACTTCATTATACGTTGCAATATTTAATTTGACTTGTGAGAACAAATAATTATTTTACTTGAATCAACTATTGGTTACCCTTATTTATTGGTTTTAATTAAATTAAGGGCAGATAGATCCGTATACATGAGACTCCTCTTCACTCTACGGTACTACGACTTCTACAAGAAGCAAATAACTCTGCCCTGAAAATTTAGGTTGAGTCGCTGATCAACAAAGCTACTGTGCAGGAGAGAGCTGGATGAGTTGGTCGGACTAGATCTAGTAAGTGCTCCATGCTCTACACTAAAAGTACGCATTATTTGGCCGCGATGGATGATGATGAGAACTTGGCGAATTTAAGAGCGATCATGGCTGAGTTTTCGCTGGATCCTCATCTTGCTAAGATACTGATCGCGTAGTGTAATAACAACTACAGCAATGAAATTCTTACCATCATTGTTATGTTAATTACTGATCGCTAAAAAGTGAAGACAACGTACAACAGCGGTTAAGTCGGATTATGGACAGATTTTCACTGAAAAAAACATCCACTAATTTTACGTCTGAGGATTATTATATAAATATAAGAAAAGGTTTGTTCATACAGGTAGCATATTTTGAATGAACAGGACACTATTTAACAATTAAAAACAATTAGATGGTAATTACACCCCAGTGTAATCGCACCGCAATACTACAACCTTCAAAACTTCCCTCAATGCGAAAACTAAACTTTAAACAGTTCCAAGATTTCTAAAATACCATTTTCCACAAATTAGTTGATTTGTATATTTTTAATAATATTCAATTGAATAAATATTTATAAAACTTAAGACAACGTCGATCCCAATAAGGATCCATTATATACTATTGTACATTGATACAAATATATTAGAATAATTTTCAAACGTAAATAATTTTTAAAGTATAATTATTGAAAGTTAACAACAGCGAACTTTTGTAAATGTACTGAAACTCATGTAAAAAAAAAAAAAATGAAACCATTGCAAAAATAAAATTTTCATTTTACTAACAATTGTATTCATTCTCGTCTGTAAGGTAAAAGATTCAGTCATTGACACTGGCCTAGTTATTGACACTTGCAATTTTATTTTAATTAAAAAAATAAATATATTAACTCTAATAAATTAATAAATATAATCTTTGAATTATAAATTAAAAAAAAATTTGTTTTTTGAGAACATTTAATTTTTTTAATTAGAATAAAATTGCAAATGTCAAACAACTATGCCAGTGTCAACAACTGGGTCTTTTACCATATGTGGACATGTGAATAAACGAAAAAGTTAGTTCACAGCAAATATTTTATTTTTAAGTTAAAATAGCTATTTTTTTT